TCATTTAATAGATTCTTATCAGAACACATGTTTAATTGGTTAATATTAAAGTATTAAGTGACGAAGATAAATGGAATTAAATATCATTTAATTTGTAGACATTAATTGGCAAATATCACATTTGAAAGCGCTTGATGAAAACGATAGTGTTGCTTCAATTCTAGGCCTCAAGCCTCATCAGTTCCGTTTTGTTATATTCTCTCATCACTTTTGTTTACATATACAAAGAAAACAATTGAGAGAGCAAACACAAACTTTAGAATTGCACGTATTCTTGATATTAAATTTTTGTTTCCGTAGACGACTAGTGTATAAACATAAATTTTTATCACAGCCCTTTTTTGGAAAATTTGTTATATCACTGCCAACAAAGTATCGAACAACTTACAGATATATACGTTACCAGATACAAATAATACAGAGATTAATAAACGCTATACACTACAACAATTTCAATTTGCTGCACATTTGAAGCAAGGCATCACATCATCTATTTCTTTTTGTAAACTCCCACAATGCATATACTTCATGTAACGGCCGGTGTGGCCCACACCACTGCACCACACCACCTTGCTGCTTTCCTAGGCTCGAAGATGTGCTCAATTATGTAGATCGGCCATGGCAGGGCGAGACCATTCCAGAGTGTGACCTCGGACTGCAGATGCTTTCAAAATTTGATCGCTTCCTCTATTTTGTAATACACTAGTTGTGATTATGGTGAGTACTCCGAGCTACATGCACTTTTGCATATAAGCGCTTTCGCCTGGCCCATTGATCACTGCCGATGGGGACAACTCTCGCGAGGGCAGCTCTTTTGACCTTGTAAATTTGACAAAGCACGTTGGCTTTTTTTGAAAGTCTCTGTACGCGTCTGTTCAAGAACGTCGACCGTCAATCGCCCCTCGAAGATAGAAAATGAATTGACTGGATCGACACACTACAAGGGGTTAAGAGCTGGATTGCTGCTTTGGAGTCACTTCATCCGCGAGTGCATAGAAATGGTTGCCAAAAATGTCGGTAGGCATGTTGCTGATACAGCTCAATCCTCACATCGTAATCGTAAATCAGCAACAGGGCTAGACCTTACAACTAGCCACTTACAGTCGCCTTGCTCATGGAGGTTTACCCGGGACTGCAGCTTTAAACTGCTTTGATCTGTTTCAAGATAGAAAACTTACAAAAATAGCTAATGTACATATTGCAACCATTTCTTTTTGAATGCCATCACATTAATATCGTACCGGCACTAGATCATTCGATCGCAGTATCCACTACGGAACTAAGTTGAGCTTGTCATCATCAAGTCTACTTCCGATTTCGATCATAAACGTATTTTTAATTCTTATTGTTGCGCATTTTCCGTCTGCAGCCCATAGTGATGTAAGGTATTGGGCACCGGCGTTGTGTGAGACATCATGTCTTCAGCACCTACTATTTATCCATGTAACAGCCTATTTTCAATATCCAAGATTGAAACAAATTTGTTGTGCCAGTTCTTCCAATTGAGTACATTGAATATGAGAATTGACCTTACAGACAACAATTGCCATACTAAAAGCATTGAGATTCTTGTTATGGTTACTCTGTATGAATAGAATAGCGTGTCTAAATGATGGCTTGAGAAACATGTAGGATCAAAATCGAGGAGCTTACTTAATACCGTGTGACTTATTTATCGACTAGAAGAAGATTGTAGCTCTTTGCAAAGACTCAGTTGTGAGTTTATCCTATGATTTTGAAAAGGTAATTCGTAATAACTGAAGCACGGTGTGCTCAACACAGTGAGTGTGCTCATCTTTATATGGCATAACGAGGTATAGCTGAGGCCAATACTTTAATGCTTTGTCGAGCGCAGCAATTCGAAGTGTATCAGTCTGTCCTTTTTTGCCTTAGAATCCGTCTCGACGGCCAATGTATTCTAAAAAACGCTTGGCTATTGTCTCGTCACTTTGGACACATCCGTCTCGTTTTCATTATTGAAGCGTCATCGGTTTCCCGTTTCTAGCCAAGAGACATCCATTTCTTAAAAGTCTCCTTTAACGCTCTTTTGGCCATGCATGGCCATCATCTCAAAGTGGGCGATTGTGTCTCAGTCAAGTTCAATGTTAGTGAAAACAGTAGCGTTCAAAAGATTGGTCAAGTTCAGCGTTTGCGCTCTAGCGGTGATATCGATGTCATATACGCTGATGGAAATATCGAAGAGCATGTCAGCCTAGATCGTCTACCAATTGGCACTAAATTCAGCAAGAGGAATACATGGAAAGAAACTCGCAATACACGATCTAAGAGACTGGAAGCAAATAATGAGGAGGAGTACGAGGAAAAAGCCTCGGCTTCACATGTAGAGAGCCGAAAATTAGCACAACGCCAGACAGAGAGTAGGTCCACCACCAGGAAACAACATACTACCCATACTCACACGCGTCAACAGCAAGACTTGACTGATACAATGGCTCAGACTTACAAGCAAGTGGACAATATCATCAGAGCGATCTCAGCAAGTGACGTAGATGCAGTGGCTGTGGTGAGTTTATGGTGTTTGGCTCAGTACCTATTGGCTATTGTATTCAACCTGTTTTACACTTTAGAAAAACGCTTTGTCGCTCTTGCTTCGTGTGATCCGATCTGCGCCTCAGATCGCGGCTGAGTGTATCCACGAACAGAACGGCGAGCTTCTTCTTCTTAGTACAATTCAGACGTATGCGTCACACGCGGTTTTGCTTTGTTATGGATGTGTCCTGATGCGTAAATTATGCCACTTGAGTTTGGAGTCGGTAGAGCTCTTTGTACAGCACGGAATCGTTGCCACAGTGGCTCATGCGCTACAAACTTTTCCTGATGACGCTATTCTACAGGCATCAGCATGCGGGTGCTTTGCAGTGTTAACGCAAGTGAGTGATGTGAGTAAGAATGAAATGCTTGCAATGGACGAACCAAATATCATGGTGTTGATGCGCACGTCATTGGACGCTCATCGCGATTACTCGAATCTAACACGCCAAGTTCAGATATACGCTTGTGAAGGTATTGAATTTTTGAACAACTAGTATCTCGAAATGTACATCTTGCTGACTTTCATCTTTTATTTGCTATAGTATTGACAGAACTATGCGACTGTGGTGGACAATCAGTAGCATCGGCGTTAATTGCTTCCGATCGTCGACAAAAATCTGAGTCCATAATCGAGCTTGCTGTCTCGCTCTTTCGCCAGGGTATAACACGCGAAGATAAAAAAGTCACGTGTTCTCTATGCAGCTTTCTGTTATGGTACGGTTGTTATATTGATTTAGATTGAGTATTACTCTTCAGGGCTTACAAATGATCTCTTTGTAGTCTTACGTCACACAGTTCATTTGTAGCTGAGAGCTTGCGTGCGCTAAATGCTATTGCAGACATTTCGGTTGTTATTGCAAAATATCCGATGGATGAAGGTGCGGCTACTTTTCATCGTAACTCTCTGTATCTATCTAATTACACAATTCTTGACTATGTGATGCAGGAATTCTTCGATTCTCCCCCTCTGCATTACGAGAGATTGCGAAAGCTAATTTGAATCGTTCTTCATCCAAAATCGTCCGTGAGACGACGTATCCATCAAGCACGACTCCAGCAATTACGTCAAATCTGGAGCAATCTGTTGTTTCTAGTTATCATTGCAACACTCCGGCGCAAACATCAGACAAGGGGGGGAACTATAATAGACAGCGCACAAGTAGCCATCATCAAAAGTCTCTGACTGTTCGTCCAAAAACTTCATCGGGGATCGTAGAGTCAAGCAGCTTGCATTGGTTTGACCAACCGCAAACTCTTGAGCGCGCCAAAACGCAGTCTTCCGTGACGTCTTCAATACAACTCTTGGACAAAAGTCGAGGTATAGCTCCAAAACCATCACGACTTCCTCCTCCGCGTAGTCGTGATGAACATCTTCGACGAGCCGGTGATATGAAGCGACGAAAGCGTGAAAGTGAACAGCGCGATCGATTATTGATTCAAACGTATGGCAGTCCTCCTCTTAGTATGAAGAATATTCGACCGAGTGCATCTTCTAGTGCGGTAGGTGTGAATACTGAAACCATGTCAGGTCGTTGTAGTCCCTTAAAGAACAATTACTTGGGAACTGAAGAGGTGACGTTCGTCATTCCTCCACCGCTTTCAAGCATTCAGTCTCAGGATAAACTACAGACTCGTTCTAATTCATCGCGTCTGACTCCTTTGGTGCAGGAGCGAATCAAGATTTCTAATGCCACGTTACCAAACTCAGGGAATCGAGATAGTGCATTTTCGGCGAAATCTTCTGGAGACTGTGGCAATCGACCAACTGCTGTCGTCGTAAAGAAAGTAACCTATCGGCGAAAAAATGAATCGAGAGAGCGAAAACGGGAGCAAGATTCTTTCAGACTTTCAATGCCTGCTCGTAGATCTTCGTGTGAGAAAGATCTATCCTTTTCTTGCTTTGATCCGCTCAGCGCACTGGACGATACGACTAATCCAAAATGTGCTAGTAAAGCAATAAACCATACTTTTATACAAGAAAATGAGTCTGACGTAGCAGAGCAGGAATCCATGGCCGAACTTCGCGAATTCGCACAACAGTTACTCCAAGAAGAAGCACGAATCTCGTCATTACTTGCTCAGACAAATCCAAAATCATCTGGTCTCAATCGCATGACTTTTTCCGAGAAGCTGCATAAAATGATTGCAATTGCAGAATCATCAATGTACGAACGAAGTCTGGCCATAGCTGCACGAACTGGTGAGGAAGCCATGATTCAGACACGAGATGGTTTGGCTCAACAACGAGCTTATAGAAACGATGTGGCCAATATTTCCAGCTCAAGCACGACGTCAGTAGTAGCAGAATCCAAGTTTGACACCCCTGATACTCCAAAACGACTGGCATCGAGTTACAAAAAGTCACGCGCATCATTTGTAGATCTCAAGAAGCATGAAAGATCCTTAGTTGGATCTGATATGGTATCGCGTCTCCAACGTGATGCTGCAATCGCACTCCAAAGAGAAAACGTACCTGAAGTAGAACAAGATGAAAATTGCGGGATCACAAGCTCCAAAATTTCAGCCGTTACGACTGATATGGAAGCACAACATGATGAAATGATTCAAGAGGACATTCCAGTCACAGTAGTTTCACCTGGAGCCTTTCATGGACAAGAAGAAGAGATAGAAGGAGAAGTATCAGAGAATATCGTAGTAAGCCAGGAAGAATTACCACATGTTGAGTTTAATACTACAACGCTGGACGACGTTGCGAAGGAAGAAGTATTTATTGTGGAGGAGATTGGTGTTTTGTCGCCTTCTCAGTGCGACGACGAGGTTCCGAAGGGCAACAATGAAAGGTTATTGATCCGAGATGACAGTCATGAAGATATGTATGAACAAGATGAGAACACGTTTGAAGCGGATGACAGCTCTATCGAAGGTGCACCAGATGATATCGATCTGAAAGTCCAAAATGCGACGAATGCTACAGAAAGCCGAATTGACGATAAACGTAGTACATTTTCGGTGAACTTTACGGAGAGAGAAGATCTTACCGACTTTGAGCTTAACAAACTGTTGTTACCAAGTGAAGCTATACAAACCAATTTGATGCCCTGGACTGACGATTGTCAAGAGACTAGCATTTCATCTCCGTTGTCTAGAAATGAAACATTAGATGGTTTGTGTACTGTGGTGCCTGTTGAATGTGCGGATAAAATAGAGCGAGTGATACCCTCAATGGACTGTAAAGAACATGCTATTGACACTCGTGCAGTGTCGGATTCCACGGAAGTAGCTGATACTACTCTTTTGAATGCTTTACAGAATGTTGTCGACACATTAACTCCATCATCTTTGTTAGCTAAAGATGCCTTTGCTAGCACCATCGATTGGCTTGAAAAAAAGGATGACCAGCTTACTTGTTCTGGCGCAAAAGGTGGTAACTTTGAGCTACACTTTGATAGTTTGCGAGTCAAAGAAGACATAGCTAGCGACATTGGACAATTTGTGACTTCAAAAATTGCTGATTCGTTGACTATGACTGTCGAGCAGCTTCGTGCACTTCCACTTGCTCAAGATAGAAGAGCTGAATTTTCTCAAGGCTTGAACGAGCTGGTGGCCGGAGCTGTAGAAGCTGTGGCACACCGCATTCGAGATTGCAATGTGTCTATAGCTTCACGTTCTGATGAGTCTTCTTCAAATCCACCCAGTCATGGCGTATTTATTTCAGAGGAATCAAAACCGCGACCTAATGACGTTCTTATATCGAAACAAAGGGCAATAGCGATTCAAGAAAGTGTCAATGGAATTGTTGCCTTGTTTTTAGCAAGTACAGTGCAGAAATTGAAATGTTTGGAAGCTCAGATGAATGACTGTACACCAATAAACAATGAGATTGCTGCTGAGTTTCTGACCCCAGAAAGCTCAAAGCAAGGAATTAAGGCCGCAGAGAGTGACAACAATGCTCGATTCGCTAAAGACGTCCATTGTGCTCGGCACTATGTAAATCGGATGGTTGCTCTTTCCATGCAGAGGTTTGTAGAACGTGCAATGGGAGATAAAAGTCGTGCAACTGCTTTTGCAGATCTTCGTGATGCATTTGATGGAAATAGTAAAATTTTGATGGTTGAGCTAAGTGAATCGAGCCCGACCGACAAAACAGGTCCGGCAAACGACCAATATAACTTATGTTTTGTAGAATTAGGAAAGAATGCCGAGATTGAAGTACCAGTTCACACAATCATTGCTATCAGGCAAAATGTTGATGGAATTATCGCTCTTTCACTTGAAAAGGTAGTGCATCAGCGTTGCTCACGTGAATCAAAGTTGAATGGTGACGATTCAACGCAGCTCGAGTGCAAAACTTCCTTAGACAGAAATTTCGGCACGAAAATTTGCTTTGAAAAACCAGCTTCTCCTTCATCGTTGATGGCTGCCCAAGACAATACAAGGGGGATACCCTCACACACGTCAAACATTTGCAGCCAAGTTCCTGCAAAAGTTGATGAAACATCTGCTGCTACCAATGTGGCAACTCTCGTCGCGGCTGAAGCAAGAGCAAGTTCTGTAACAACCACGTCAATAATTGAAGTGGCTGGATCTACAAATTGTGCATCAAGTCCGAAGGATTCTGCTGTACTTGCTGATATTCTTATTGACGATGCCAAGACCATGATAGACTCAAGCACTGACACGGCAAAGAACGAACAGGATCTGATAATAAGCAGAAACGAGACTATTTTTGAGGCTGAAGCGACCAGTGTCACCAGTGTAACTGCTCTTGCCGATATCTTGGACACAGTGGTGGCAAAATCGGACTATGCA